ACACACACACACACACACACACACACACACACACACACACACACACACACACACACACACACACACACACACACCCCACTGCCCTGACCATCAGCTGACACCCCTCACTGCCTTGACCATCGGCTGACAGGGAAGCATTGGGGAAAAGCTCCAGCAGCTCCCCTTTCCAGAGTATTTCACTGCAGCACAAATCTGGAAGGCACTGGTTGGGCACGTAAAGAGCCATGATATATGCCCTATGGTTTTGGCATATCTGTACTTCACTCATCTGAGCAGTGTTTCACCACCTGTTATTTATACCTAATGCTAACTGGGCATTTAGTATCAGTGCCCTACACACCTTAATAAATGTAAACATAGGCTTAAAGGACATATTTCACTTTTGACATACGAATTACAGACTGTTTATACCAGGATATGACTGCCTTTTGAAAAATTAGCTACTGGTAAGTATCCAAATATAAGCATACATTGCAGGGAATTCAGAAATAAGTAACAGATTATTAAGTATTACATGGGGAAAAAATTAAATAGCCATTAAATAGGATTAATATGTCTAGTTATTTTCAAACTTTTGCTGCCATTTCTACTACAAATCTCACATAACATAAGTATTCTATTTTATCTGTAATAATGTATATAGCCATAGGTTTCTGTTCTCAGAGTTTGCTGAATCCAATTCAGTGATTGCAAGGGACCTCGGATTCATTACTGTCCCTGATGTAACGGGTTGATACATTTTTAGAAATAAAACGATAAGGAAGAACTTTAGAGAATATTACATTCAGAGTAGATACTACACTTACACATCTAATTATAAAACAGTTGATTTAAAACATCCACAAAATTAAAACATTAGGAGGCTCATGTTTAGAACACTCATTTGTACCAAATAGCTCAGGGTATGTCTACACTACAAAGATAATTTGAACTAACAGCCGTTAGTTTGAATTAATTTTAATAGGCGCTACACATACAAACCGCTAGTTCGAACTTAATTCGAACTAGCGGAGCGCTTAATTCAAACTAGGTAAACCTCATTCTACGAGGACTAACGCCTAGTTCAAATTAAGTAGTTCAAATCAAGGGCTGTGTAGCCACTTAATT